GCCGGTGAATTCCTCAGTGCTGGGGGCACTGCAGGATGTCATACTTGACGTAGCCCACCCGGTCCACCTGGTAGCGTGGCGTCATCCTCCAGTAGAAGCTGTCCCGGCAGAAGTAGTACTTGTCTGGGTGAGGAGCGAGGCAGAGTGAATGGAGGGTCAGAGGGAGGATGGCTGTGCCAGGAGCCATCCCAGCAGCCACCTGAGTGGCACAGGTATGTGGGGATCTGGCCCCCGCAGACAGCCCGTGACTGATGGTGCACCCTGCAGTTGGACCATCCCCTGCACCCGGACCATCCCCTGCACACATAAGCATCCCCAGCCCAGCACTGGGCTGATGAGATCCTGTCCATGGAGAGGTTCAGGGCAGCCCGGGTGTGACCACATGGCCCCCACCTGCCAGGTCCCCACTCACCTTGGTAGAGGAAGACATTACGTGCATCGAGGGGGATGCCAGTGAAGACATCATCCGTGGCACGGGGGTAGCCCTTGTCCACCCTCTGGACCTTCACATCCAGCCTGCAGGGAGAGCAGAGAGTTGCCAAGGGCTGCCAGGACCCCTCTGTCCCAGCCCCTCACCAGGGAGCCAGAGGGCACTGCTGTGGCCATATGGACCCGCTCACCTCCAGTAGCTCTCCCCACTGAAGAGCAGCACTTTGCCACGGCCCCGCTGCAGGGCCCCCGAGATGCGGCCAGCTCCCTTCCTGATGCCCAGCTTCTCAATGCTCCGCGGGCCTAGCACACTCTTGCCAGAAAACACCCAGAACTGCTGACCTGCCAGCGGGAGAGAGCACAGGCATCAGCTGGTGCCAAGGGCACCAGGGCAGCACTGGGGTCCTCACGACACTGGTGGCACCAGGGCCCCGAGGGCAGCAGGGGCAGAGCTCACCAGCAAAGAAGAAGACCCTCTTGGTGAGCAGGTCCTGGAATGCGGCATCGATGACAGCCGGGAGGCCGGGCCAGGTGTCTGCTGTGGAGAAGGCGCCCTGGATGCCTGACTTCCAGAAGGACGAGTGGGTCCAGTATTTCCTGGTGGGGAAGGTCAGCCACCCTGACAATGTCAGCCTGGCAGAGCCCCCTCTTCCCCTCCCTCCCCGGCACAGACCCATGTGCCCCCACACCCTCTCATTATCCTGGCACTTGCCAGAACAGGAGGGGCCAGGCGCTGCCACTCACCCATCCTTGAAGAAATGCAGCTCCCCATTAATCTCCGTGATTGCATCAAAGTTCTTCTCCATGCAGGCGTCCCGGCTGGGGTCCACAGGAATGGGCTCGGTTGTAGGCTCTGGTGTTTCCTCCTCCTCCTCAGTGGTGGAGGTGCTGCCAGCCTCTGTGGGCACGGGCTGAGGCTCCTTGGTGGGCACAGGTGCAGGGGCAGTGGGCTCGGGGCCAGAGCCGTGACCTGAGTGAATGTAAGGGAGGGCATGAGGCTGGGGGCTGGCACCGTGCCATGGGACCCCCAGCATGCCCGACCACAGCACAGCTGCTCACCGTAGAGGTACTGGATGCCCTGGACATCATCTGGGTGCAGCTGGAAGTCCTGAACGTAGCTGTACATGGGGTACATCAGGGCCTCGCGCACACTGGAGTGGTCCAGTCCTAGGGAGTGCCCGAACTCGTGGGCAGCCACCAGGAAGATGCTGTAACCTGAGGAAAAGCACAGGCCTCAGCACCCCGGGGTACAGGAGGGACTGGGACCCCATGGGGAGCAGCAGTGTGGTGTCAGAAGGTGCGGGCAGGGGGCCAGTACCTTTGTCTGGGCAGAAGCCCCACTTCTTGTCGGCGTCGTAGTTGCTGGTGGTGGCACA